TTTTTTTTTTTTTTTTTTTTTTTTTTTTTTGTAAATTGCAGTCCCACTAAACTGCTCTTCATTTATTGTTTACTTCGCTCTGAATGCTTTAGTAGTTCCGACTTTGAAGGAGACGTGAGTTTCGCTTTTCGTTATTCGCCTTCTACTTGTAAGAGAAGCCTTTTTCCTGAAGTTCTGGCTTCTGAGTGTTGTGTTGTTGAAAGAAGAATGCGAGCTGCATTTAGGCTGGAGGAAGGTAAGCTTAAGCGATTCACGGTCAACGTCCAAAAGCGTATACCGCGATGAAATTATTTGGTTGTTTCCAACTGTCCAACAAGTAATCGGTTGACGGCAAGTAGTCTCACAAAACGAGCAGTCAGAAGTCAGACTTTGCAAAGTGGGAGGATGCGCTTACAAGTCCGATTGTTATACTTCCAATGTCATTCGCCCAGTAGTTGGCGTTAGGGGAAGTATGGTCCTGCTCGGTGTTGTAGTCGACGTTCACAGTGTTTGGTGGAAGTGAGACCCGCTCTAACCAGTCTGTCAACGCGAGCTGCCTAGCAAGCTGTACAGCAACGGGTTGGCGCAGTGCATTGCTTTCAATGAACATGTAAGGTAAGCATTTAGGGAGTGAAGGGGCAAACAGCCTATGACGAAGTCTTTCCCAGCAACGACATCATCAGAAACACATACAGTCAACCTACTAAACGTCAAGATGTTATTTAGGCTGGCCTATGCGCACGGTAAAAGAACTTAATTGAAGTTAGAGACGTGTGTGTGTGACCATGTATCCCTTTGGAACTTGTTTAAAGTCATTTGGGCGAATAAATGTTGGCGTAACAGTATTTAATAAAACATTAGAAGAGATCGCAGTGCCAAAAAGTGTTGTGTGGGACTTACGCCCTGCTTGGAACAGGGGGCATCTTTCAAGTCGAACCAGTTCAACAAGGCACTGTTTAGTATAACGACTGTTAAAACATGTTTCAAGTTCATCAAACAAGAGACATGGAGTATGCAATTCCTTGAAGGAGAGACATTCTTCAGAACTGAATTGAAGACACCAACTTAGTTTAAAACAACAAGTCCTCAAAGTTGGAACATGATTTTAAAAAGTCGGCGTCCAAGCCTCCTAATCTAAGTTGCTATTTTCTAGCTAGCTTTCCTTCCTTTCCTTCCTAAGCAACAATGAGTCTCCCGGATAAACTGTATTTTCCCGTACTGTTTACAAATCTCATTACCAAGTCAAAAAGAAGCCAAGGTAGTGTAGTTGCCGCCGAGCTTACTGACAACTTTTAGGACTTCAAACCGAAAGTTGGTGTGTGTTAAAATTACTTTCCAGGTTACCGGTAAAGGACCAGCAGACCGCAAAGAGATCATTGTGAAAGAGACAAGCACAAGTACGACATTTGACTTCCAAATCAAAACTTTAGAAAAATGACCAGGAACATTTTATAATAATGGATTTAGAACTGGCGTTTTTATTGGTGAGAAAAGATGGAACCAAATGACTTGTTATTACATCAGTGAGAAACATCGTGGCGAACAAGTCATTAAGTCCCCATTAGAGACCCCAAATCCCGAGAGGATACTTTGAGGAAAATTAAGGAAACCGGATACCGGCTTTATGCAATAAAAGACATAATCAAAATACAACAAACCGCTGATAAAGAAGATATGCGTGAAAGAAAAACAGAAACTATACATGGAAATGCTTCCGTGCCTCTTGCAATCTTTTCCGTAGATCCAGTACTCGCCTTTCTTGAGTCTGCATGTCTTGATCACTGACTGATAAAACCTAAAAGCCACAAAAAGATTAAAGATGCGTACTAAAAATGTTTAGTAGAAAAATCAGTAACTGTGTGTCAAGTGAAATTTAAATGCTGTTTTCACACTGTAAACATCGAATAAAAACTACCTGCACGAATGGTTGGTCAACATTCGTACTGATCGCTGGATTAGCGTCAAACTGTTTCGCTGTTGAGGCCTGTCCAGTTATTGGATTCCTTAAAATGGCGTCAACTGACTGGTGCGCATGGATCGCAGCACAAACTGTAGCTGCAGAAGCACTGTTACCAAGAAGACTGCAAGCAGGTTCCATTTTCCCAGCCAGATTTAAATTTTGTGGTATATACTCATTATCGTCCACATTTAAACGGTCATATACACGTACGGGAACCATTGCTTGCAAACCCTCCAGGGCTTTTGCCCAAAACAACTGGAATAAAATTTTATAAGGAAACTCCCATTTTATTAGTGAACAATTTCCACTAACCTGCAGCAAAAAAAAAAGTAGGGTAAAAATCACAGTAATACTCTTCAAAAAAAAAAATCAATTTAACAGAAGTCAATTTCACCTGATGTGGCTTTTCATTTCTTAAACGGCCTCCACGAGTACCTCGTCGCAGCTGCTCAGCAGATGTGCTTTTTGTTTCTCTTCTCGTGGTGTGTACTAAAGTAACTGGTTGCTTGAAAATGGATACTGTCTTTCTACAAGGAGCCTGTAGGGGACCATCAAAACCCGTTTTAACAACTGAACCTCCTCGATCTTTTCCTTTTGACCTTTTATGAGCGAAAGAGCCAGCTTCCTTTGTTCTCCCCATTAAACTTCACTTGCTAGTCTTAAGATTACAGAATTAAACAATAAAATACTTTAAATTCTAATTTCACATTATTTATCATTAACGAAATAGCCGTACACCCATAAAAAGAAGGAACTCTTAATCAGCATACAAAAAATATACGTGCAGAGATACAAAATAGTTACAAAAGTCCCAAGTTTTCCAGCTTTTAATGACAAGCGATTAATATAAAGCAAAAACAAGTTGAAAGAATTTAATGATTAAATAAGAATATATAAACAGTCTGAAATACAGTTCTTTTAACATCAAATTTACAACTGCGCCTATGCAATCAACTTTTTTTCAAAACGAACTGTAGTTCTGTATTCAGTTTCACTTCATTGCTGAAGCAAGATAAGCCCACAGCAATCTAATTTTTACGAGTGGGAATGCAGCTAAAGTTAAAATTTGATTAGTACGAAAGCTTCCAGAAAGAAAAATCACTGCACATATTGCTTTTTACAGTTAATAAAAAAGCAAACACTAAGAACTATCTTCAGAAAGATCTGAAAATGATAAGCATCTGAATGACTTAGACAGGAAATTTGAAAGTAAAGTTTAACATTAATCAGGACCAAAAAAACCTTTTTTTTGACATCATAAATCCGTATTAAGTTTTGTCGATGTTTTTCGAGTTCCTTTTAAGAAGTCAAGCCAGAAATTAACTTTACAACAACTTACAACAAATTCTTAAGGGAAGCCCAGCTAAGAAGTTTCCAAACGTTGGCAAGACCGAAACGTTATTAACGGCGTTTTTAGCAACAGCTCCAGAGAATAAATATATGAGTGAAGTTCTGTATGATCGGCACTTTTGCATCAATGACATTGGTAATAGTAGCACTTACATGCCGACTTCCGGTACGGTTAGAAAAATCATTTTCAAATGGATTCTGCATTATTTTTCCATTTATGATTCGTAATTATGAAATAAATTTAAAAGAAAAAACGCACAGTTAATGATAATTATGATTCATAGAACGCTGTAAAGACGCAACATGGAATTAGAAATATTCAGAAGGATCATAATTAATCTCGGTAGTTACTGATGAATGAATGATGTTCGATCTTTGCTGTCGGCGAAAGCGCTCGAGTTGGCCGCATTCCAACACCTCGCTATTTTGCATATTTTACTTCTTATAATAAATAATGACGCCAAACTTACAGTCAATTTTTGATACCAAAAAAGCTATTTTAAGTTTGAACTGGTAATGTCTTACAGGTTATCGGCAGATTGGCAACGAACGGTTAGTTGATCGCTTCTTCGTTTCGTTGTTCGCATCTGGTTTCTTGGTTTTTTCCACTTCCTTTTTGGTAACAGTGAGTTGTTGTTGTTGTTGGTCGGTTCTTCGTTTTTGCGCTATCAATGGAAACAGTCTTACAACT